CAGTCTCTCAGTATATTTTGATAACATTTACGTAATGACATCCATGTGGAGCAAGCATATCCAAACATTAACATCAGTTTTACGTAGGTTACGCTCACATGGCCTCACTGCCAAGCCAAAGAAATGCTTCCTTGGGTATAACAAGATTAGATATCTCGGACTGATCCTTTCTAATAACTCTTTGCTGCCTCTCCCCAGTAAGATTGAAGCTTTATTAGAGCATAAATTCCCCAAAACCAAGTAGCTCATGCGTAGTTTTCTTGGTTCCGTAAATTTTTATGCACGGTTTATCCCGAACCTCACTGATCTTACAGGCATCTTATCTGACTACCTTAAAAAGTCTGTGAAGGAACCTCTTGAACTTTCCGACGTAGCTTGAGAAAAGTTTAATGAGATTAAGGACATCTCTTAAAGACCCTATACTCAAAATTCCAGATGTTAATAAGCCATTTTTTTGAAGGACTGATGCCTCCAATACCGGCTTAGGTGCGGTGTTACTACAGTACCATGATGATACTCCCTTCCCTGTATGCTTCCTAAGCCGGAAACTTCTTCCTGCAGAAACGAGATACTCCACCATAGAAAAGGAATGTTTGGCCCTTGTGTGGGGTATCTCCAAACTCAAATTTTATTTACTGGATAAAGAATTTATTTTAGAAACGGATCACAAACCTCTGATATACCTAGAAACTTTTAAGGGAACCAACAGTCGCCTCTTAAGGTGGACATTGGCACTCCAAACTTCTAAGTTTCATATTGTGTATATCAATGGTTCATCCAATTATTTCTCTGACTGGTTAAGTCATGACAGTCAGTAGATTTGTTGCCTTACGCTACTTCGTATTAGAACTTTTTCCTCGCGTATTCTTCTTATACTCCTTGACTATAAGTATTGGTATGGGGGAGTGTGAGGGAAAAGTTCAACAGATAGGAGTAGCGAGCGAGTATATGGTAACGATAGTTTGACTGCCGGCTGCTTGTTAAAGTAGGGTCAGTCTAGCTCCCGCTATCCCCTCCCCCCCCTTTCACCCCACCCCGAAAGGTGACGTGTAGGGCTCCGGCCAAACAGTAATCACTCGACTTACAGCTCCCAGCACAACCGTAAGTAAAAGCCTCTGCTCCTATTCTAGTGGATACTGGTTGAAAGCTTCACTTTTGAACAATAATAAACTTAATCCTTTCAGTTTTAGTCTCCACATGAGACTTTTAGAAAATCACCACCTTTTTTAAGTACCTTGCACTTATCATGGAGAGTGATTTCTTAAGCAGTGGGTAAACTGTTTCTCTTTCCAGCATGGAATGACAGATCGGGTCACCTGCAAACCAACGAGAAGTGTTGAAGGAGACGGACTGAAAATCGGTCTTGGGACATCACTTCATGATCTACCTATCTGATTAATTGTATAGGACACTGTCCCTCATCTTTGCAGTGGTAAAGAATCTGTGTTCCTGTCATCTGGACTGACTATTCAAGGCTATAGACTCTGTGAAGAACTAGTCGTTGGGTTGTCACTCAACACCTGTGACCCCCCCCCCCACATCATCATCAACGGCTACAATTTCTACAAGACGGTGTCAACCTCAACCAGACACCCCAGTATAACTGTACATATTAGCGTTGATTCAAATATCATTTTTCCATTTCATTTCTCATTTTTCTTTCAAGGAGGATACAAATTCATATTTCAATGTTTTATCTTTGCATTAATAAATAATGAAGTGTTTATCTTTGTGATTATTTCTTTTTCTATTCATTAATTTTCCTGAGGAGCCAGCCTTGGTAATACTGTCTGAAGTTGTTACAGGGCTGAGTAAGCCTTCACAACTTAAAGTTCATTGAACATCGGCAAAAATCGAACATTTCCGCTACTTTGAGCTCAATTTCAAGGTACTTTTCGTCATGAAAGAAATCAAAATCCTGTCTATTTCTGTAATATATCTTCTATTCTATCAAATGAGACCAAAAAAAACGTGAATACAACCATAAAAACCATACGAAAATATACTGCAAAGAGGCGGCTAATGGCTGAGAAGTGAACTCCCTTATTTATCGTCCGTCTTTTTTATTTTTGTTGTACGTTAAGAAGCATCTTTCCATCATACATTGCCCAAGTTTCAATAAGACAGCTCAACAAACAACCAAGAAAAAAACAATATTTGCCAAAAATCTCATATGGCAAGCCAAAGCCAGGTACCGGAAATAAGTCACTGACTTTTTTTGGTTATCCTAGGTTCTCTATACATACACTGCTATGCATGATAATCTATGTAACTGTATTTGTGTATACCTGAATAAACTTATTTACTTCTAGTCTGTCAACTGAGTACAAGAAACCGCCCATTCACTTATTTCAACTACCTAATAAAGTGGTTAGAAATTGGCAAATTGGCTGATTTCACGCAAATTTCAACAGATGCCAATTTCAAAATAGGATCCAGAATAAACAATGCAGACATTCCTGGCACTAAAATAACATTTTCTCTGTTCATCAGTCATGGCTCCAGGCCCCTCTTATATTACTCTTGCTTACCATTTGGAATTTTTATTCACAAAAAAATAAAAGATTTACTGTTATGCAGACTGCTGCATTATTGTAATAATTGTATAAATAATGTCAACCCATTCTTGACTCTGTATTGAATTTAGACTGGCAGGCGGACAGGTATTGGACGGTGACATCATTTGTTTACTCTTGAGCTTCGCTAAAGAATAGAACATTTTCGCTACTGTGAGAGCAATTTCAAGGTACTTTTCACCATGAAAGCAATCAAAATCATATCTATTTCTGTAATATATCTTTCATTCTATCAAATGAGACCGAAAAAATGAGAATATAACCATAAAAACCATACAAAAATGTACCGCTAAGTAGCTGGTAATGGCTGAGAAGTGAACTCTGCTATTTATGGTCTGATTTCTTTCATTTTTGGTGTACATTAAGAAGTATCTTTCCATCATACATTGCCCAAGTTTGAATAAGATAACCTAACAAACAACTGAGAAAATAATAATATAATAATAATAATAATAATAATAATAATAATAATAATAATAATAATTTTATTTACTACACGTACATGTACACGGTACACAGGCCTAGGTGACATCAGTGACATACTACTATATAGAAAGCCACTTGTTATGCAGAGTATTTCAAGCAAATTAGGTCAGTGTCCCAGGATAACACCCACACTAGTCGGCTAACACCCAGGTACCCATTTACTGATGGGTAAACATAGACAACAGGTGTAAAGAAACACGCCTAATGTTTCTACCCTGGCTGGGAATCGAATATTTACCAAAAATCATATATGGCTAACCCAAGCCAGGTACTAGAAATAAGCCACGTTGACTTTTTTGGGTTATCCTAGGTTCTCTACACATATGCTGCTATGTGTGACAATCTATATAGAGAAAATAACTTTTCTGTTTCAGGTTTATGGTGCAGTACAAGTTTATATCACAGTTAGTCCTGTGATACACTCTGTTTTCTCTAATGTAAGCCCCCAAGACAAGGATAGGAGAATGGTATTTGTATACCATATCCTCTTCATACCTCCGTCGAACTGCTTGGTGTTATGCCAAATATTATTCATTCTGGAGTATTTAACATGTTTTATGTTATTTATATTGTTTATTATGTCATATTAGATCAACTGTGATAGGCAAATAAGCTGTAGTAATGATATTAGCGCAATAATAAAGCATTCTCCTGCTTCACAAGACTGAGCTCATGGAAACCGACAGTGGCTTCAAAGCCACCTTATCTTTAATGGATAATGTACTGTGTAGGTGCTTTACATAATGAGAAGCATTTCTTTTATTCATTGGAACCATGGCTAGGGCTAAAAGTAAGCAGGTTAAAACAATAAATGGAGAAAAAGAAATTGGAATGACTTATGCAGCAAGTAGCGCCACCAAACAGTACCAGCAGGTTGGTGTGGCGTCCCTGGAAATTTGAAATTATGCTAGCCAAAATTAGTGCCGAATAACTGAAGGAACCGAATAACTGATTGCCGGATTTGTGATGGCGGACATGTAATAATAATAATAATAATAATAATAATAATAATAATAATAATAATAATAATAATAATTAATAATAATAATAACAATCGCTCTGGAGTTCTATTAATGTCATATGTATTACATATAGATTTGGTAGCTGACATTTAGTGTTTTCTAGAGTGATTATTAACTATTATTATTATTATTATTATTATTATTATTATTATTATCGACATACCTTGTTCACTGAATTTAATCATTTCTTAAGATGCTATGAGAGATGCAGAAAATATACACACACAGACGAACACACTAGCTAACCCAGTTACTGTGAACTTCTTGTGTACTTCTTCCATTTTCCTCTTGTTTATCTTTTTCTAAGTGCTGCTGCACTTCTATCTTATACTATGGGGTGCACAATAAAGAACAAATTTGTACAAATATGTAGTCTTGGAGACGTTGAAAGCTAGTGTACCGAGTGGCTTAGGAAGGAGATCGAGATGCTTGGCGCTGAAACGCTGCACTGCCAGTTTCCATGACCCAAGTTCTCACACGGCACACAATACCGACTCATCAGAGAGCCCATCGTAAGTTTGAGTTGTCAGTAAATTAATACGTCAATAAGTGGGGAGAGGCTGTAGTGAGCACATTCTCAAACAATTTTCAGAAATGTGTTGACATAAGGAGAGGGAACCTATTGTGTGTATATCATTTAACACAAAAATGTATAGTATGTAGCATGTTGGAAATCTTTTTTACAAATAATGATGTTCTGACAGTGCAAAACACCTATAATGAACCGAAAAATACTTTCAAAATAATATCTGGAAACAAAGCACTCATTAATGGTAATGTCAACCACTCACTGATGAGTATTCAATCCCAAACCAATTCACAAGCAAACTGATGACAATACCAACAGCTATGAAGGCAAACTATGGTTACACTTAACTAACATGACAGAAAACTTTGCATTTTCAGTGTAACTTACCTACAGCCAAGAAGGCAAACTCTGCTTGATGCAGAGGCTTCTGCTCCCATATTCCTGTCCAGTCACAGACTTTCTCTGTGATTTCCTCTGCAGCAGCCTCTAAGCTGGATAATGTTGTTCCAATACTACTCAACAATTCTATGGTCCCTGTTAGTGAGGAAAAAATAATGGGTTAAATCATAAACATTGCTAATTATCAACACATTTTACCATGAATTTTATGTGCAATTAACCCTTTCATTGTCTTCCACACAGATGTACATTACAGTGGTCAGTGTAGCTTACGTATGTCTATCTTAGTCACAGTGCCCCTAAATTTGATGCAATCAGTAAATTCTGGACTAGACATGAGTTAAGGGATCCATGAGGTGGGTCTGCAGAAGAAAAGACAGTGAATGAGGTGATGGAGCAAGTGGCCAGAAGTGCAGGGACGTGGAGAAATTCAAACCCAGGAGCAATGTAAAGTAAAATAAAGTTTATTTCTTTGTAAAGATTACAATGTGTAATTGCAATTTTGATTTGCTAAGTACAAAGATAGCCACTATCATGCCGAGGCATTCTGGGCAAACTAATCCTAATACGTAGTAACTAATTAAAACTAAATAAGATAATAGTACATAGTAACTATACTTAAAACTAGACAAGAAATAGTGGTTAACTGTTTTACTATCTTATTAAACTTGATACAACTGAGAGGTATTAAGGTGGAGTAGGGTTTGGTAAAATAATCTTGAAACTGCACAAAAAATCTACCTTACAAGTATTGGTGCAGGTGGTAATATTTTATGGAATGGCAGAATTAAAAGCCAGGTGGTCACATGATAAAACTAATTAGCAGATGTTTTGGTTGGTATGGTTAATATTGTTAGATAAAATAATTTTTTAGCAAAGTCCTAAATTTATAAGCTGTCTGGGGATCCTTGACCTGTTCCGGTAGCGAGATCCAGATCTTTGGGCCCTTCACGTGCATAGCATTCTTGCATAGTGAGAGATTGACTCCAGGGATGTTGAAAAGTGCCTTATGCCTTGTATTGTGGCTGTGCATTCTGTTGTAACTGTCAAGTAGTAGTTTTAGGGGAGGGTTTACAGTGGAGTTTAAAGTTCTGTATATGTAGTAGGCACAATAATAAGAGTGTATGTCTTGCATATTTAGCAAGTTGAGTCTTTTGAGAAGTGGTGGGGTGTGCTGTCTAGCACAGGAGCTGGTTATTACCCACACAGCAGGTTTTTGTTGGATTATTCAGGGTCTAAGGTGGTTGGCTGTGGTTGAGCCCCAGGCACAAATACCATAGGAGAGGTAAGGATAAATTAGAGAGAGAGACAGGGTAAGGAGAGTCATTCATGGTACATAGTATCATATCTTGGAGACGATTCCTACCGATTTGGAAATTTTCTTGGCTACATGATGGGTATGGGACTGGAATTTAAGATTACAGTCAAGGAGAATTTGCCCTCCGTGTGTCTTGACATAGGGGGAACCATTTAACAATACAGTGGAACCTCGGATTATGAATTTAATCCATTCCATGGTCTTGTTCGTATCAATTTGACTACCCAATATGGTGGTCAGAAATTGGCAATTTGGCCAATTTCACGCAAACTAAAAAAGATGCCAATTTCAAAATAGGGTCCAGAATAAACAAGGTAGACATTCGTGGCACTAAAATAACATGCTCTGTTCATTAGTCACATCTCTAGGCCCCTCTTATATTATTATTGCTTTCTATTTTGATTTTTTATTCATACAAAAAAATACAAAATTTACTGTTATGCAGACTACTGCATTATTGTAAAAATGGTACAAATAATATCAGTGCACTAGTGAAGGAATATTAGACTCCCCAGTTGACGTGTATTGGACGTGTGGTGTGATTTACTTACTCCTGAACATCGGTAAAAATCGAATATTTCTGCTACTTTGAGCTCAGTTTCAAGGTCGTTTTCATCGTCAAAGTAATGAAAATCATCTCTATTTCTGTAATATGTTTTCCATTTTATCACCTAAGACCATGAAAACGTGAATACAACGATAAATACTATACGAAAATACACCTCAAAGTCGGCGTTTTATTCCAAAAAACCGATCAGTTTTTTTTTTCTCATTACGCAATGTGTGCTGCAGGATTTTTTTTATGTGGTGCACACTGACCACACAGACCCATTCTCTCACATGTGGGCCTACCAGCTTCTCCCGCTTGATTTGAAGCCACTAGAATTATTGAGTATATATACGTCAGAAACATTGGCTCGTAAGACGTATTTATACGTCGAAAACAGTCAAAGGGTTAATTGAAGTGCAATTAATTCGCTCCAGCTGAATTCCTGCTCTCAGGAGGCATGACAAAATAACCCTAATAACAACTTCACAGCTTATTTATCTGTCACAATTCATCTAATATGACATAAAAAAACAATATAAATAACATAGAAACCTGACATACACAATAGAATGAATAAAGTATGTCATTACATGGACGGCAGAGGAAGGAGTATTGTGGGCAGGAGTGGTCGCACATTCTCGCTATAAAAACGTCAGAGGTGTTATTACAAGAGAAAATGGAGTTTGTGAGGCTAACTGAATTAGATCTGGTGTACATACAACATTTACATACCTTGGAGAAGAAATGCAGAGCGGCATATTCTGTCAGGAGTTCACACTTTTCTTTGAACTGCTATGTACAAATTTTATGTTTATCTCACTACACTACGTATTCACTGACTTTTTGGCTTTTTCTCCATGCCAACAGCAGCTTTTCCATCTTTTCATTGACAGAGGTCCACTGTTTAGAAATTACTGTAACACCCTTTGCTGGTGCTAAAGCCTCTATACACTCCTTCTGCTTTAGTATTGTACATATAATAGAGGAGTTATGCTTATACTCACTCGCCAAGTCCTTAACCCTCATACCTAGTCTGTGCTTATCAATAATTTCTTGCTTTAATTCCATGCAGATCATCCTCTTTTTCTTCTTGGCACTGTCCTTTGCACATGCTTTCAATGGACCCATGGTTAGAAGAAAAAAATCTGGCAAATTAACTGCATGAAACGTAAGGAAATCACGAGAATTCCTTGCACAGTGAGGGTAGCTCCGTAAGCACATGTGCACTGGTGAGCATTGTTTTGATTGACATTGCTATCTGGTGGTGGTGTTGTCAAACTAAATTATACACAGTATGTACATACATGTACTATTATAATTATTATTGTACTAATACGAATTATATATTATTAATATTTTATTATATAGTATTATATTATTATATTTATAATTATTATTATGCATTACATGTATTATTATTAGTACGTATGTATGATTATTATTATTATTCCTTTTTTTTTTAACAAGTCGGCCATCTCCCACCAAGGCAGGGTGACCCAAAAAGAAAGAAAATCCCCAAAATGAAAATACTTTCATCATCATTCAACACATTCACCTCACTCACACATAATCACTGTTTTTGCAGAGGTGCTCAGAATACAAGTTTAGAAGCATACACATATAAAGATACACAACATATCCTTCCAAACTGCCAATATCACAAACCCCTCCTTTAAAGTGCAGGCATTGTACTTCCCATTTCCAGGACTCAAGTTCGACTATATAAAAATAACTGATTTCCCTGAATCCCTTCACTAAATATTACCTTGCTCGCACTCCAACAGCTCGTCAGGTCCCAAATACCATTCATCTCCAATCACTCCTATCTAACATGTTCACGCACGCCTGCTGGAAGTCCAAGCACCTCACCCACAAAACCTCCTTTACCCCCTCCCTCCGACCTTTTCGAGGATGACCCCTACCCCGCCTTCCTTCCCCTACAGATTTATATGCTTTCCATGGCATTCTACTTTGATCCATTCTCTCTAAATGACCAAGCCACCTCAACAACCCCTCTTCAGCCCTCTGTCTAATACTTTTATTAACTCCACACCTTCTCCTAATTTCCACACTCTGAATTTTCTGCATAATATTTACACCACACATTGCCCTTAGACAGGACATCACTGCCTCCAGCCAACTCCTTGCTGCAGCATTTACAACCCAAGCTTCACACCCATATAAGAGTGTTGGTATTACTACACTTTCATACATTCCTTTCTTTGCCTCCATAGGTAACGTTTTTTGTCTCCACATATACCTCAAAGCACCCCTCGCCTTTTTTCTTTCATCAATTCTATGATTAACCTCATCCTATATAAATCCATCTGCTGACACATCAACTCCCAAATATCTGAAAACATTCACTTCTTCCATACTCCTCGTCCCAATTTGATATCCAATTTTTCTTTATCTAAATCATTTGATACCCTCATCACCTTACTCTTTTCTATGTTCACTTTCAACTTTCTACCTTTACACACACTCCCAAACTCATCCACTAACCTTTGTAATTTTCTTCAGAATCTCCTATAAGCACAGTATCATCAGCAAAAAGTAACTGTGTCAATTCCCATTTTGTATTTGATTCCCCATAATTTAATCCCACCCCTCTCCCGAACACCCTAGCATTTACTTCTTTTACAACCCCATCTATAAATTTATTAAACAACCATGGTGACATTACACATCCCTGTCTAAGACCTACTTTTACTGGGAAGTAGTCTCCCTCTCTTCTACACATCCTAACCTGAGCCTCACTATCCTCATAAAAACTCTTTACAGCATTTAGCAACTTACCACCTGTTCCATATACTTGCAGCACTGCCACATTGCTCCCCTATCCACTCTATCATATGCCTTTTCTAAATCCATAAATGCAATAAAAACTTCCCTACCTTTATCTAAATACTGTTCACATATATGCTTCAATGTAAACACTTCATCTACACATCCCCTACCCACTCTGAAACCTCCTTGCTCATCCGCAATCCTACATTCTGTCTTACCTCTAATTCTTTCAATTATAACCCTACTGTACACTTTTCCTGGTATGCTCCTTAAAGTTATTCCTCTATAATTTTTACAATCTCTTTTGTCCCCCTTCCCTTTATATAACAGGACTATACATGCTCACTGCCAATTGCTAGGTACCTTCCCCTCTTTCATAAATTCATTGAACAAAAATACCAACCACTCCAACAATATATCCCCCCCTGCTTTTAATATTTCTGTCATGATCCCATCAGTTCCAGCTGCTTTACCCCC